CTTAGCGCCAATTATATAGAACATGTTATGTGTAAAAAACATGCGTAAATAATCTCGACGATTGAAATCTAAATAATTCCATCATTTTATTTGACAAACTGTTCCGCGTTTCAAAACTATTCATTATAAATTGTGATTCCGATTATTTCTCTGTGTCACACTAATTAAATTCAATAAGTAATCGTGAGACAGTGGAATGAATCAATTTTACAATATGTCTCTTTTTCAATATCACAAAAGTTACAACCTTGAACATCATTTCAGTAGACATTATTGAAGACTTATACGGAATAATTGAATCAATGTTCATAATACATATGTTATGTCCGATCTTTATTTTAAACCATTAGTAAACAGTTGAACAAATATTTGCAATAGTTTACTATAAATGAACACAATTTTACCTAGTACCTGTTTTATATTGGATTTATTGGCCAATACATTACTATATAATTCATTCATAGTAAGTAAGAATCAAAACATTTCTCTTATACTCCTCTCTTATGAATTTTATTATGATTTGTTTTTACTAAAATGAAATACTTCTCTTTCATATATTTGATTTCATTATAATTTATCTAATATTTACAGAATGTGAATTTCTAAAGCTTATATTTCAATAAAATAAGAAATCTCAAAGGGATACACAGTAGATGATTTGCACAAAAGTAGTTTTGATTACAATATTTTAAATTATTTAAAATATTTAGAAGTTTATGTATATGGGTTACTTGAAACTTCCTATTGATCGAACGAATTAAAATTGATCAATTTGTTTTGACATATTTTTATTCTGTGGGGTTTGTCTCGATATTGTCATTAAATTTTAAGTATTTTTAAGCAGAAATCGATGGTGATTTACAATGGGGTTCGGAACGCTCATTTAGTTCTGGTAGGGACTAATTAGTAGTCGATCATTTGCAGTACTACACAACAATCGAAATATTTCAAACAAAAAAGACATATGAATTAAAATTTATCCTATTGAACAAGGCATTGGCGTTTGAAGGTACGGAGAAGAGCGTGAACTTTGGAATGAGATCACACCCAACTGAAGAGTCCCCAAAAACACGAAGCTTATATATTAGATTCCAATTTTAGCTATCATTCAACATAACCTAAAAATGTTTTGAAAGTTTATAACCCAACCATTTTTTCATCATCAAGAATAAATGAATGTTTTTTGTTAATTCATTTTTTGAAATCGATACAACTAAGAGATGAACAGACGATTTAGTTTACCTTGAGAAGTTTTAAATTTTTCTTTAATTTTATCGCTGCTAACTGTTTCACAACTCTCTCGTTTTAGTGAAATTCTGTCACATTTGGACTTTGATTCATTTATCTAAAAGTTTATTTGGGTAATAAATACTGATAAGATTAACGAATAAACTTAAGTAAGACGAGTATGAAAAATAAAAAAGTACTTGTTAATGTATATATTGTGCTTATCATTAGGCACAACTTTACTGTAGTTCATCCACATTCATCTACTACAGACAACAAACAGAAACAAACAATAAATATTTATTTAGTCTGTTTCCTTCTTCGCAATCATGTAAATATTTTTGTATTATAGCTCACCATTTTTATGATATAACATTTCAAAAAAATGTTTTGTTGAGTAAGGTGAACTCACGTTAACATCATACGTATATTTATACAACCTTCGAGATACATGCACGTTACTGGTCACAACTGTGGCCTATTGAACAGATGATGAATTTGTTCGTAGCGATGAATTTTTGGTTTCACTATAGTATTTGTCTGATATCAATGAGAAAGTACCAGTTACATCGAAATTTAGATAAATGTAACATGATTTTCAAACTATCAACCTGGATAACTTCTAAATATTCGAAACTGTTTGGAAATTAATGACATCAAAAATTTCGATTTTAATGAACGAAGCAAAAAGCCAGAAGATTTATCCTTTTTTCTTTCGCTTTGTGGTAATTTACAGTTTTATAAAATGAAATACTACCACATAGTACTGAAAAGCATACGCGTTAATTGTTTACTGTTTACTTATGTATGAATTTAATGAATAAGTATAATCCATCAACCTATATCGCTACTATTTAAACGCAAAAATATCTTAAAAAATTAATATGTAGTGGGACAAATTATTATTTATAACTTGTGGAAAACGTTTTATGAAAACATGGTGAAGGAACAATTATTAACCTGCTTTTTTATCTCACTGATAGCATTTTCACTTGCTTGTTTCTCATATTCGACTGAAGTTAAACGTTGATCAGACAGTAATGACCCTAAATACAAAGTATTAAAAGAAAGTATAAAGCAATATTATTTACTGAACAGATGATGCATTTCCCATTAGTTAAATTATTTGTTCAAATTTTAATAAAATGGATATATATTAAAATGTATAGAATTGTTCTACGCCATTCACATAACTACAATTTCTTCACAATCCATTTAATTCTCAGTTCGACCGCTTAACCAATTTTATAAAATATTACTCAGTTGCCTATTAGTATGATTTATGTCAATATTAATTTTTTTCTTACATAGTTGGAAGTATTGAAGATAACAGTAACGGAGACATACATTTGATAAAGGTATTTACCAAATGTACTTTTTGTATTTTTGCACAAACTAAATTTAAGGTTACTAGTATAGGGGTTGTGGAGATTATTAAGTTTTTGATTGAGATCATGAACCGATTGATGTTAGACCACCACCTTTGGAAACCTGGAAGCAGTGGACGGCCAGTGCTTCCAGGTTTCCAAAGGTGGTGGTCTAACATCAATCGGTTCATGATCTCAATCATAAATTTAAGGTTATTTAAAACGTTTGTTTAAAAAATCCAATAAATTTCTGCAATTTTTTAATGAGTTTCATGAAATTATTAGAGGAAAACATGACTTCTTGAATTCAAATAGGACTAAATGAATTACTTATTACCAAGCGGATTTACTAGTTATAGTGTATTCCATTATATATATATATATATATATATATATATATATATATATATATATATATAATTTCTGGCATCGAATTCTATGTGAATTTGTGGTTATTAACTTTCGATGAAGATTTTCAACATAGTTCAATAATTAACGGTCCAAAGAAAAATTTACAAATCATATTTTCTATACGTACGTAATGATGTGAAGTGCAGTAAGCTAGAAAATTTTATATCCTGCTTGCAGCTGTACGTTTAGTTAAAATGGTGAGTTCACTAAAAATGGTGTTGAAATCAGTTGATGTAAATTTTGAAAAAATTGCTCATCTTATTTGAAGATGACAGACCCAAATAGTACTTGGATATAAATCTCATAACTTATTTGTTTATAGTTATTTAGTCAAACTATTTTATTTAATAGGCAATGAGATAATCATGGTTAATTACTATGACTTTAGACTATCTGTGTTTTTTTAAATTGATAACTAAACTAGCACAGTAATTAATATTAAATGAAAAAGAGTATAAAATTACCTTTCAATAAACCTTCAGAGTAATCAATAATAAAAGCTTATTCCAAGTAACTTTACAACATGTTAAGTGTTTATAGGAAAGGTGCTAAATAATCGAACCTAAATTACCCTGTTTGAACGTATATGAATACATCTCAGATATATTGTAGTGAACGAGAACACGGGTAGGAACAAACGGATGTATTTAGCACAACATTTACAGTCTATCTCAACAATATCTGAATACCATATATTAAATCGTCAATTTGCAAAATATTCATGCATCAAATCAAACTGGATTGTTTGTGTTGCCAACACCAATCCATTGTCTCCCATTCCATTGTTCATGCATTTTCTTACAAATTCCAAAGTGTTCTCACTCTACCTTTCTTGATCTTCCCCATCTTCCGCTGCCAGACATTACGTTCCTTTAACGCACGTTATATACTACTTATATCAATATAAATAGCTCACACCACAATATTGTCCTATCTACTTTTAACTTTATGTAGTATTAAATAAAGTTACCCAACGAAGTTATCAAGAATTAGTCTATGAAACTAAAACGAAAAGCAAATAGTTTTTAAATAATATTTTTGCACAGATTTGTATTTCAATCAATTGAATGAGATAATATAAAAATTTTCAAAAAAAAATATAAGACAACAATACTACCTGATGATAATGGTTTTCTTAATGTTCTAAGTTGTTTAGTGCATTTTTCATGAATGTCAGATTTTATTGATTTCAATTGTGAACACTTTCCTGTACACATCTGTCGTCTTTTCAAAAAGTCTATTTGTTCTGTAAGCTGAAATTGAAAATGGATAATTTAATTTATATTTGAATATAGAAACATGTTTATCAAACCTGAGTAGACTAAATGGAGAAAACAGAGATTTTGATAGGCTTAAGTCATTTATTATGAAATACATTACTTTTACTATAAAACCGCCAAAGCCACTTCATAAAACTGACCTTATTTTATAACGATTCATCTTGAAAATAATCAAAGATCCAAGTTGAAAATTTTATGTAACTGTGTTAAAACGTTGTATGGAATAAGATGATTAACTAACCAAAGAGCTTTACCTTGATCAGTCTACTCATATTCAGTTTTAGTCAGTTACTGAGACCATAGTTCTTACGAGCAGTTAACACTAGTTATTCATGAAGCAAATTCGATTAACTATCTAGTGAATATGGCTATCAGTGAACCTACTAAATAAAAATACAATTAAAACCTATACTACTGATGAGTAGTGTTTTTCAAAACTACCCACTAAAATAAATTGCTCCACAAAGGTATCTTAAAAGTATAGAAATGTCTTTTTTTATTTTATGGATTCAGACATAGAAAATATCATTCAGATCACTTTGTTTTGGAATCAATTTATTATTCAAAGTCTAAATGGACGTTTTACGTGCGCTACCGGCCTACCAAATACTACACTTTTTACGAGGTGCTATTTTTACCGTTATTTAATCTTATAATGATCTTTCTTAATGAAATTTTAGAGTTCTTCGAGCAGAACATCTCTTTTTGTTTATAGTGCTCAAGTTAATGTGTGTGTTGATATGACGGAAAAAACTTGAAGCATTATTTGATGTTTGTTCATTATTTACAAATATACCAAGGAAGAGACTATAACTACGGAATTCCACCATTCCATATTACTGCATTTGCTACAAAATGAGTTTAAAAAATTACTCTTACTATGCATGAAAGGGGTTCGAATAAAATTTGATCACCAGTTATGCAGACAAGTTGATGGGGTGACCATGGAATTGTCACTAAAGCATTTTTGGCCATCTTTATAGCTAATCTTGAATAAGGGGAACTTAAACAAGAAATCGAAGATGCAACATTCTACAGAAGGTTTGGTGAAAATACATTTAATGTTTGTAATAATATCATTCATGTCTCATCGTCGCCTTATCAGCTTAGTGAAGCACATGTTTGCATAAATTTTATGATGTAATATGAGCATAAAAATCAGTTCGACTATTTAAACCCAATAACAAAACGCATGAACGATGGAAGAACAGAGAAGACCTTATTCAAAAAATAAATATGGACAGGGTAATACGTAAATTATAATAATTTTCTTTTGTTGGTTACAAGTTCTTTTTATTCAAAACCCTGTTCAAAAGAGCTTTAAAATTGTGTTTGATCGACAAAATACAGGAAGTTATAGAATGCATTGGAGAGTGCCTTACAAAAAGTGTAGATCCAAAAACAATTACCATAAAGTATAGAAAAACGATTTTAGGAAGTCCTAAACAGACAACTGTTAACAGAAAACCTGTTTTCATCTGTCTTGAATTCAAAACTGAGGAGATTTTAGGCAAGATTGATTAAAGCAGCGCTATAGATAGGTTTTCCTCCAGCTCATCTATTTTCAGTATATAACATCAGAAGTTCCTCACATCAATCAAAAGTGAATCAATACCCTTTTGAAGTCAACTCTAAATTTATTTACGAATTTACATGTACTTTTGAAAGTAAATACATATGAAGGATTGAAAGAAGGGGATATACAAGGTTTTCAGAAAATATTTCCCCTACATTGTCTGAAAGAAAGTAAATTTTTCATAGGTGCGTTCAATAAACACGTGAATGTCTCAAAAGCATTTGGAATAATAAACAGACATCGTACACCACTTTTATTCTGCTTTGCAGAAGCCTTTGTCATCAAGCGCTTCCGACCTGATTTTTGGATAGGAAATGACAGTGTGGTAAACCTATCATTGTCATAGTAATAAAGTTATAGGATGATGAATGACTAAGTATAGTGAAATCTAGGGAATTAACTTTAACAAGAAACATTCATAGAAAGTATAGGATTTTAACGCTTGTTAGTTACATTATCTGTTTACTATGGTTTATAACTTGAAGCAAAATATCACAGTGACATTCATTTACAGCACAAACTTTAATTTGATTCTTAACGAGTGCCTTGAGTATTACAATGTTTTCATCCATTGCCTCATTATTATTTACAACTTCACCCACCTCTCCTTATTTATCCTTTCATCTGCAAAACATAAATACTAATCAATCTTAACTATTATGTTAAATATGTTGTTTCCTCTTGGTTATTAGTCGTTTCGAACTAAACTTCATTGCTTATGGTATGTAATCAAAAAGTTCTTATAATAACATTACCGAAGGACTCAATTAATACCTTACAGTTTAATAGTTTACTTATGAAGATTATTAAAAGTGCAATACAAGGCGTTTTACTGCTATATAATACTTTGAATGAATTACCATGGATTGACACTGCAGTTTTGCTTTACTGCCATGATACAACAGAAGAACATAGAATTAAAGTATATTACGAAACAACTAACACCCCTCGAAATGATTTAGTTCGTATAACGGAAATATCCCCTGCATGTTAACACAGAATTGTGTCCACAAATTAGGATGACTCGATCACAATGTCTTCTATATTGGAGAGTAATCTCTTGAAATTACGACCTGAGCCAACGAATACCTTAGGTACACGAAAACTCTCCTAGAACTAGAAAGACTACAAACTAAATCGTGAATAGCAGTTGATGCTATTTTCAATAACTATCAATTCGATATTAAAAACATCAAAATAATACATAAAGGCTTTTTCACATATTGCTTAAACTTACTACCCTCAACAGAAAAGAAGGCCTCAAAATCCATCCAACTTGAACCATCTATCTGAGCTACGATGTCTGGTTCTGTTCACATCTCACTCCAATATCATTCATACAAACTCAGATCTGTTCTTTTGCACTAATAATGTCACATTTTTCATCGTTTAACATACATAAATACATTCACAAACATACTTAAAGTAAATCACTTTGACTGGAAAGACATGACATTGACTTGGTTAGATCTGCTTTTTGATTGATTGCATCAAATATTCTTGCGGTGATCCTTTGTACTAATTAAACTTAAAATAATTTAACTTTCAGAATGCGGATTTGTGGAGATTATAGTAAGTTTAACAGTTGAATTCATGAGTCCATCTAGGCCAGATTACTATTGAAAACCTGGAAGCGCTGAACGGCCGCTGGGTCATGGGTGTGTACTTCTTAAGAGTACCATACTAGAACGAAATGAATGTCTAATACTTCCAGGTGTTCAACGGTAGTCTACCTTAGATCGACTGGTGAATTCAACTGTTAATTTGATTTGTTTACTTATTCTGTGAAGTGGCTTACAATGAGTCACGAAACATCGGAAAATTTAACAATTTAATTTTTCTACCCATTGAGATATTACAAATGTATTATTTTCATAAGCATTACAAATGTAATTTTAGCCCGTTTGCATTTGATGAGAAGCCTTGATATGTAATGAGTTCACGCTAATATGCAGACCCCATTCTTCTCTGTTTATTTATAATCACTAAACCTTTCAAACATTTAAAAACGTTTCAGTAAAAAGCACTAGTAGAGAAACGATCGTTTTGATTCCAAAGTTTTATTGTTGTAAAAAACCTACCTCCCTTGTTTGACGCTGAAAATCAGCTTTAATGGTGGATAATTCCTCAGTTTGCTCATTAATTATTTGTAGATAATAATCCCTTTCTGAAATAGTAGTTTCTAATTCACTGACCTTTACAGCTTTTCGGTCAAGGAACAATCGCACACAGAAAACAAATAAAAAATGATACATTTAATTTCGTTGATAACTTTATTAAAAGTAACTTCAAAGGAAAGATCTAAACAAAATTTTAAATTAAATTTCAAATTAACCACTATAAATTATGTAATAACTTCTAAACTCTGTTTATGACATTGTGTGTTGATACATTCTTGCTCTGTGATAATAATTCACAACTCCAACTTCATAAGTATGAACGAAATTACTTCCGTCCACTTCTTTTTCCTCCCCCGTTAATTCGAGTAAAGACACCAGTTTTGCAGATGAAGCTTTCCGAGCACGAAAACTGGTCAAAATATATTTAAATGGTCGATTGTATATCAATGGAAAATAACTAGAATATTCAAACTGACTAATTGTTATGAACTAGAAATATCGTAAAAATGCATTGAAATTCTGTGAATAGTCTTTACACTGAATAATTTGCTACAACAAAAATCCAACTTAATCGATACTGATTTGCTTCTCATAATTTATAGTTTAAGATCTCATATCCCCAACATGTGGGATTTTAATCGATTGGGAATATAGATTGTTTTAAATGCCTTTATTCGTAATTCATTAAAAATATTGGATTCCATATAAAGAGAGATTGACAGCTGAAGCTCTACACATATAAGCGAACCCAAGCAATGTAAATAGGAAAGATGGAACATAGTTAGCTGTACTTTACCAACCGGTAATTAATGGGTAAATCTGAATTTCATTTTACTTCTTTTAATTCGTTTCTTTAGTAAACAGTAATGATTATTTTCAATTGTTCTAACCGGTTAATTGAACTGAGTATACGATGGACAACCAGTTCGGTCAGTAAAATAACATATTTATTTATTTATCCGGATTCTATGTATCATCTGTCACGTTTGATTTTGATCTATCAAATGATCTCATTTCATTATTAACCATAAACGGGGGCAATTTACGGTCAGTGGGATTTTTTCTCATATCAGATCTACATACACATACATATACCTGTTATCTTACACCATTCACGCTTTTGCACATCAAGTGACTGACAAGAACCATAACATATCCTTTTTCTGAGATTATTACCATGATTGGACGGTTTACTGAGTATACAGTTACATGTGAACTATAAATTCATATTCGAATATTTTGAAGTCTTATTTTATTCGCTAATGAAAGTTCGGACCAGATTGACGAGCGCAATGTTGGATTTATTTAACGTTTATTCGTCGAGATTCATAAAAATATAACTTTCATTTTAAGGTAAACTATTTAAAAATTTTGAACACCATATGACAGTTTGTCAGTCAGCAATTTTAAAGTAATTCTTCCCTTATTAGTTATGCTTCATAACAATGAATTGATGATACCTGGCAAACCCATTTGTCATGTCCTCATTTCTTACTAAAAATGTCAAAAATTTATCATTATGATAAGTTAACAAAACCATCAACTCTTGAACTAGTGGAACGTATTTAAAGTGTCACTTCATAAAAAGAATTTATCATATATGTACTATGCAACTAGGATTTTATTTCCTAGTTAGCTAATTAATAAGTTCACAAAGATAAAATAACAAAAGATAATAGAACAACTTCAATTAGTTAGTAGTAAATATCTCAACGCTACGTGTTGGTAGCATACGTCTTAAATCTTTTGTGAGTGAACTTTTAAATGATCATGAGAGCATTCATTTACCAAGTGTCTTTTCATATTCACTAATACAACGTTGATTATTCCTAAAAGTGGATTTTAATTTGTCCAATTCATAATTCAGTTCTTTTATTTGATTTTTCAAAAGTTTTGTTTGTGCTTTATTCTCTCTATTCATCATTGATTTCTTTTTTAATTCACCAATAATTTTCATCACCTGTTGATAAAATATATTTTACTTAAATGAATTTAAAATTAAAGTGTATCGTAATATAGCATTATAAGTAGTATAAACTGTTGATTTGTAAGTTCTATCACGATAAATGTTTAGAAGTAAAAACAACCTGAAACTCATCTAAAAGTTCAAACTTTTGATAAGATTTTTGAATGCATGAAATGTTTATGTAACTCATTTCCCAATACATGTTAGAAAAAATTATTTCAAACTTCAGTTGGTTGCTGTGTAACAAGTTAAGGATCTCTTGATTGAAAATGTGGTGACATAAGAGGATTCGGTATTCAACAGAGAACACTCAATAGATTTATACAGAACATGAATATAGAAAAACTGGTTATCCCTTGAAAAACAATGTACATTACTGTTACGTACTCTACCTGGTTACGGCAGAATACGGTATACAACTATCGGCACTCGAACGTGCAGAACTCCACAGTCGCATATCAAAGGACGGACGAAGCAGGGAAAAGTGATTATTAGGTAAAACACCGAAATGTACAAAAACATGAGAATTTATAATATTAGTACTAGCTATGACAAAATAATAATCTAACCAATCCACAAGCAGGAAATCTATTCAATTGTCTAATCATAGCATGCCACGTTGATATTCCAGAAGGTGCTATCAGGTCCTGATTGGATGAGATCTCTTGGGCTCCGCTATAGCCTCTGGAGGTTTCGTTATGATTTTTGGATCCATCCCAACAATTACATGTTAGTTTCATCTAGATAACCACTAAAATCCTGAAATAACTAGTTGACATTAGTCTGCGATGTAATTTATGTTCCGTACATAAAATAAGGGAAAAATTAAGTATAAATTTCTTTGGAGCTGAATAATTATTATGTTTAGAATATGAGTTTTTGTTATCACCAGCTTACTGTTATACTAATATTTATTTACATATAGTTCATGATCGATATTAGTTTATCAACCTGATACATAAACTAATTCTATTGTATGTGCAGAAGGGTTAAACACAACTGATCATGATTTTACTACAACGTAACTATAAATGCGGGTTATAACTAAGCGAGCTAACAACGAGCGTTAAAATCGTTTAGTATATATTTAGATAATACAATAAATGGCTTATAACATCTGCGTTGCATACAAACGTAATCTCTTAATAACATAATACATTGCTAACTTATATGAATGGTACATAACATAATATCAGGAATATACAAAGCATATTATTGTTCATTATTTCAGGGTGCTAGAAACTTTAGTTCTTCATATCATGGTGATAGACACACATATTTTTCTTGTTGTTATAGAGCAATTAAGTACAGATTTTAAATCCAGATTGACATCACCATTTAAACCGAAAGCGCTAGGGTTTTGTAGGATCTTTCAAAAAAGATGAACCACTGGATTAATGATATGATATGAAATAATAATAGCTTTAGGAAGTAAAGAATATAACCCAGATTAATTATCCTGATACTGTTCAATGCAATAACCAAAACGAAAGATTTGGGGAATTTTTAACACACGAAACTTGGATTCATAAATTTATAGAACCGTATACCTAACTTCTGAACAAACATAAAATTTGAATATAGTATTCGTCACTAACTCAAATTGTTACATATAGACAAGAGAAGAAATCTATAAAGTATTGTTCTAATGACTATCTAAATAGACTGAACAATTTCATATACTGAATCCCATTATTTAATTATTCCATAACCTATTATGGTTTGTGATGAAAGCTTATGCATAACTAAAAATAAATAAATAAGTCTTACGTTGTCAACGAATTCATCTATTTGGTTTTCCTCAAAAATTTGTTCCCATTTCCAATTTCTGTTCAAGTTCAATTCATTATTGATCATATTGTATAATCTTTTCATTGACAATTCTATTGATTTAGCGAAACTTTGCAAATGCTTATTAATTTTGTTTGTCTCATTTAACTGATTCCTTGTTGTCTGATTATTTGTTATCTGTTTATTTAGACGGTCATCCAATTCTGCAATATAAGACTGTACATATAAAGCATTGTGAATGTTCTGAGCAATTGTGAAATTAACTTTTACTACAATGAAGTTATGAGATCAAAACACAGTTTAACAACTGAAGGTGTTTTAACTGTTTCTACAAGTTTTTGTAGATGGATTTAGCTGACAGTCTTCTCCTATCCTCACCAGTTATAGCCTGACTAACCATTTCCGTTTTTCTTCACTCCTTCCGAGTGTCTAAAAACCGATCAGACACAGCTCAGTTTTCTGACCTCATTTAGGTCGAAGCGATGGTGACGTAGACAAAATTAAGGTCCTACTTATGTCCTATATACCTTGTCGACAAATCTTGTTAATAATAACGTAGATAAAAAAGTAGAATAAGAGTGTTTTTAATGTTTATGATTCATACGTGAGTCACGGTAGATAGACGAGAAGATGAAATGTGTCAAAGGCCAACATGCCAACTCAATTTCATTAAAACACGACTTCACTTTTGGGTATGATCTAGACAACAAACACATAAACACATACATACTATCATACAAAATGATCGGAAAGTCCAAAAGTGTCCAAAAGTTGAGTTATATTACGTGATCGCTTAGCAACACTAAATAATACAGACATTACTTGAACGCGACATCGTTATGGATTAAGTACTCAGAAAACAGCAGGAATCCTAAGTATATTCAACAATTACCAATAGTAATGAGATATAACTTGTTTTAAAGTGTCATCCAAAAAAAAATCCTATAGAAGGGAGAGTGTGCAATCCGTCTTTTATATATATATATATATATATATATATATATATATATATATATATATATATATATATATATATATATAGTTGAAGCTCAGATACAGTATAGTGGTAAAGTGTCTAAATTCTGTGACATCTGGTTTACACAGGTATGCAATCCAAGTGCTTCACGAATTTCTTGTTAAGAATTTATAAGAAATTCTGAAAAGTGATTGAGATGACTTTATGCAATCAAAGTTGACTACATACCATAAATAGTCATCCACGTGACTTTACGAAAACGAGTTTAAATGAAGGAAATGAGCAAATTAATTGTATATGTCCTAGAATTAACTGTTTACTGGAAAAAAGGTAAAATTTTACTCAGATCCTAAAGAAACTGAATTACTCATCAGTTTGAGTCAGAGTATATCTGCGCAAAGCTCGGCACTCATGATGAATGACTAAGTATAGTGAAATTTAGGAAATTAACTTTAACAAGAAACACTCATAGATAGCATACTTCACCAACTCTGAATTTAAAACCAATAACAGCATTTTTGTGAAATTAAATTCGATGGATCTTGTGTTTATCGTTTGACTGCCTATGGTAGTTATATTAAAAGTTTTATGATCCATAAATAAAACAATTCGCTTTATGTAACCGTATATAGTCTTATTTTTGCTAATTTCGTAGCTTTTAACATAATATTTTAAGGATCAAGATTTGAAAACATTCTTTCACTTATGGACTCTTTGAAAGTTATTGATTAAATAACTGTATGTTACATCAGATAAAGTTAAAAAATATACTTGTTTATACAGTCTGTGGGAAATATGGTGGCTTTTGACTAACATTTTTAAAACCAAGGAACTTCAAAAAAGAATGAGATTATCGTTCTTGATTTGGTTCCAGTATATCATTAAGATACAGTTTTATGTTCGTTATTCAAAATATATTTCATCATTAAAAGAATAAACTTACTTCTGTAGCTTCCAGTTTTGCACTTAATGTGGATAACTGACTTGTTGCTGAGTCTCGTTCAAGTTTCATCTTAATCAGTTCTTTTTGTGTTGTATCCAACACGGATTCTAATGCTTTCCTGGAGTTTATATCTGAATCCTGGAATAACCGACATGCATTGAGTGAAATATATTGATGACATAAATATCTTCAAACCCATTTATTTAATCTAACAAACAAGAATGGTCTATATTTTCATTTGCCAATGAACAAATTATTACTTAGTAAGTATCAAACAGAAGACATAAAATTAAAAAGACTTTCAATGAGTAGAAAAATTGTATTTCTGCTCATTAGGATATAACAGAACGATATGTTTATCATCAACTCTCTACACAATTTTCAATTTATTTGAAACTACCAAGTCCAACCTTGGCACTGATACCTATAATAAGACTTTCCTATGATGTAACAATCATCGAATTTTACCTCAAGTCTTTACTCCAATTTTATTGTCAATCTTCTAAGATTATAGTATTTTGTGTGTCCTAGTTTAATGGAACACTAACTATTATACAACGCACCACTCAGTTAGTAGGAATAGCTTACATAAGGAATTTCCACCAGAAACCTGTTAGCAGTACTTAGCATCAAGGGACTAAGCAAATGCATAGGCTAGTCAAAAGCCAAATTTACCTTGAAGATATTTACGAACACATACGGTAGACCTTATCCTGCAGTTGTTACTGTCAGTAAGTTTTAAACATAATTAAAACCATTTCAGAATAAAATCATCGAATAATTAAAATGTTTACGAAATGAAAATCTAGTTTACTGGTAATGCTGATCATCGATATACACTATATTAAATTAGAGAGAAAATAAAAATTTTGACCAGATGTTGCTTCCTAAATATTTGTATGATACATTTTTATTTTTTATAACTTAAAGTTTTGAAAATATAGTTACGTTTTAGTGCCGATCATAAGTCAGTTTTCAGTGTGTTTTTAATTTAAAAAAACTTACCTTAAGCTGGTGAGAAAAAACAGTAGTTTAAGAGAGAAATTTTGGTGATATTGGATTGTCTTGGATGCATGGTTAATTTATGAAGCTCTCGTTGGCTTTCTAGAAAACATTATTTACAACATTTCTATGATCAGAATATATTCTCTATTGGCCAATATTTTATCAAAAAAACAAGATTGACAGCCATAATAAATTTTTAGTGATCCAACACGAAAAAGTAAAGTATTCAGGTGGTTTACTGGAAATATGTTGAAGTTTTAGTTCAACTGGCAAACAAAACGTTAAATAAACTGATGTTACAAAAATGATTTACATTCAC